ATCTAGGTAGTTCCATGGCTGCTGACGAGCAGTGTAGATCACTGATGATAAACTCAGTTGATTGTTGACTGTATTTTGGGACTCTCTCTGCTGCAAATTCCAGGATCCTTCCCCAATAATTACCTCAGATGAGAACTAGGACAAAAATTAATTTTCCAGAATTGTAACCATTCTTGGAGAAATATGAATATTCAGTGAATCGAGCGTCCTGATTTGGAATCCGTTGTTATTTCCATCTTATCTTGCCTCCTCATACCATTTTCCGGGAATGTGAGTGGTTCCATGACTATTATCAAGCAGTTTATGTCACCAAAGACGACCTCACTTGGTCATATAGTGTATTTTTGGTATATCTCTCGCTCCTAGAAATTTCAGAATCATAACTCAACAATTGGAAGTACCAAAGGTGCTAAGTGCCAAAAATAAAGTATCAAGATATTTAAGAAAAAAGTAATAATAACGTCAATGTTCGTTTTTTAAGTTCATTAGCATTAAAAATCGCATAAAAGAATAACGGAAAACCAATTCTAACTAACAACGATATCTGTTATGAAACACAGCTGAAAATTAAAATAATTTCTTGAAAAAATATAGAAACGAGGTACTTTCAATTGCTCAATGCTATATGAGATAAGCTAAGATAATCCGTTGATTATTTTCAATCTTCAATCGAAATGATCTCGATAGCAATCTGGCAACAAAAGCACCTTAATAAAACGTAATCCTGCAATGTCTCGACCATAACCGTACTGAAACGTGAACGGCATTATGAGTTCCCGATTCTGTCCTATCTCAGGATAACAGGGAACACAAAAATTGCAGGAATTACACTCGAGAGCCTTTGTGTTCGCAACATTGAACTATTTTCCGCATCTGAAATAGGTATTGATATTTCATAAGCTACAGTTCACCAAGTCTCTTGTGTCATCATGAAAAATAAATACGTAATGAAGCACGTCTATGGTAGGTACTTTGCTTTTATATACAAAGTGTCCCAGAACAACATACCGTAAATTTGACAGGGTGAAATAGAGACCAGAATAGGCCGTCTGAAACAATTTACCTCCTTACAAAATTGCATCGTTGAACCGTGAAAGGACGATGAAGAACAATTCTATTTCCAGATTTTCTTCAATATTTCCAAATCCTCGAAAGCTACTGCTCTGAAATTCGCAGGATAATTTTACTATAGTCAATGTGCATGAAAAACAAACCACGTACTGATTCAATCAATATACAGGGAGTTGGATATTTCGCATTCTCTTTGATATTAGTTAATGTATTTTTTTCTTGGAGTACGGCACTAACCACATTTCTATATCTCAAGAAATTTCAAAATCAATTAGGTATCTAACTTTTTTCTTTCTGCAGTTTTTTTATAATTTTCCTTGGTGTTCGGGATAAATAACAAAATGCATTTTGGTGCATCTCCATACTACTTATTTATAATATTAGAATTATCAAGTTTGGCTCGTTCATAACTCATTTATAATCATAATGATAATAAATCGTCTTTACTATTTTCAACATAAAAATATTCGATAATGATATTAAAACAATGAACAATTCAAAGTAGAAAGTCAAATCTTGTTCTTCTACTCAACCCAAAGAAAACTGTGAAGTGTTGTTGTTGAGTTATTGACCACAATGATAATGTTCACCAATTCGCAAGATATTCATCAAATGATTTGGAAGCTAATCATTTCCAAATTGCAGTCCAGGATTCCTGGTAAGGACACTTTATTCGAGACACCTTGAATATCTATATAATACACTAGATTCTTCAAGTGAAATGAACCTTCTCATAACTCTCACAGGGTGAGCCAGATTATGAATTCGTCATTGGTAACTTTCTGAAACTACGGCATGCTGGTTCATATCAGCAAACTATTAGCATTATTATTGCTCTTTGAATAGCACCCCCTGTATATTCATATATTTTTAGATCCCACTTAACATTCTGAGTATTGTTCATTCAACATACCCTTGGCCCATATACAACTATATTTTCAAGATATTGACAGTTGAAAATTGGAAAAATTGAGAAACTGATTTGAAACTGATGAGTATTAACTGTCAATATCTCGAAAATAGTTGCACATCGGCATAGAGTATGTTATATGAAAAATACTGAGGATTCTGAGTCGAATTCAGAATAGTTCAGGCTGTGTATGTTTTTTCTATCAATTACTCAAAAAAGTGATGCTTGATTATTGTGTTCCTTAAGATAACTGGAAATATTGCTTATAGTAGGGGTGGTATTCGCCCCAATACATGGGATATCATTTAACGTTGAATACATACCTAATGAGAGTGAAGAAATGAACTGAAAAATACCAAATTCTAGGGACATTATAAAATTTGTCCAACTAACGAAAGTAGCTGAGTATTCATGAAAAAATTTGGAGCGGACAAATAAAAAACGAAGAGTCCATCAGGTAACATAACACAAACATGATAATTCGTGGATAATATGAAAAATTCGGATGGAAACTTCTGAATTTTCACCAACTCCTCAACCCTCTTACTCTGAAACTATATCATTTGTTATAGTTTTTCATATTGCTAACAATCAGGACGTTGAATTTGTTCGAAGAGAGGGAGCCATACATATAACTCGAATCAAAAACTTTTGGTTGATTCCTACTATACACTAACATCAAAGGAAATAGATTTGAATGGTTGAATAATGAGGATTGAAGTATTGTTTTTGACTGCAGGTTGAATTTGTGCAAGTCATAAGAAAAAACCATGAGAATGAAATTTAAGCTCGTATAGAGAAAATAATCCCTGGATGTCATGACCTCCATAGTCTATACTCTAAGGCCAATTTGAGCTCCCACACTTCATAAATATCACTATTGATTTAATTTCGAATGCTTCTTTGCTTCTTTTCAGCAGTTGAATGTCAGTAACAGCGATATATCCCACATCATTCTCGTTCGCTATATACTTTTTCCCTCAATTACATATGATCCTTATGTTCGCATAGTCCTTATATTCGCAGAGGCGCTGGCTGAAACTTGTTACATGTCAGATGCCATACTCTCGGCATATATTTCATTTCTTGCTGAAATCTTACAATATAGCGCTGATGAAACATGCGAGGAATTGATTCATAGCCACGCATGAGATGAAAACTGACAGTGAGGGGATTAAACTTTGTGAATACAAGTAAAAAGGAGTTACTTCGCATATCCAGATAACTTTGCCATGAGTTCGTGAAAAATCTGAAAAACATTTTCATTTCTCAACTGTTGATACTAAATTGGCGTGAGTTCGCCTAACGGATCTCAAGGATCCTCTGTTAATCTGGAATCTAAAAATCAACTGCCTATTTGGCCGGAGTTTTTCTGTACATGCGACAGTTGGTTTCGTAATTAAGTATCTTCTGGAATGTTTCATTTCAATATCTTCGGAACATAACATCAAAAACTTTTCTCTCAATTTCTGGGTTACTTTTCCATACATTCATGTCATGATTTGCAGGTCCGTAACATGGCTAGGGAGTACAAAAAGTACTAAGGAGTCATACATGTTATACCTTTCATGTCACGTCGATCAGATGAGTATACATTCTGCACGAGAAAAAACAGGATTTGTTGCATCAACAAATCATATTTTTTGTTGAATCAACCAGATACATGATTATTTCATGAAAGCAGCTTGTTCAAATCAAGAATGTAGTCTTATTGAATCTATCAACAAAATATATGGTTTCCTCAGAAACAAATTATGTCGATCCAGAATAATGTCGGTGTTGATTCGACTATAAACATTTTGTTGTTTTGATAAAATAATGATAATTCTGATTGATGAAAATATATCTTTGAAACAACCTACAAGTTTTCTCATTCCGATGTAGCAATGAACTCGTTTCGAACGGATCATTCGCTTGAAAAGAAGGAGTAGAGCAACGAAATATTTAATATCAATGAAATATTTTGTTCGTTCTACATCAAGTTGAATTTAATTTCCGCCTCTAGATGGCGATCATTTTGCTTCGTCTATGCCTGCCTCGAATTCATTATAAACGTGAAGCCTGACTCTTCGTGTCTGGAATATCAGCTGGATGAATCTAACTTAAACACTGGAGATCTATGCTATGAGTCGACTAGTTTCCTAGTTTAGTTTATACCATTGATGTGTAATTTCAGAAAATTCCCGAATTAATACTGAATTTGGTTCAACAAAACAATTTGTCGAATGTAGTTTCTCTTGAATCAACGAGATCAACCAAATATTTCTTTGAATCAACCAAATATTTCATAGAATCAACTAAATATTTGATTGAATCAATATCTTGCTATTTTGAATCAACCAAATTGTTTGAGCCAATTCAATATCTCTTCATGAACAATTCATGGATGTGCTTGATTGAATTAGATCCAGAGTTCATGCAAGACACATTCATTCAAACTTCAAATTCGCTCTGAAACATAATAAAGATTTACACATTTCAAGGTTATATTTTGTCATGCATATGTTTATGACACTTTCATTTGCTTCATTCAATTACATTTTGCTTGATTCAACAATCCCTTTTTTTTGTGTGTCACTCATCAAGTTCACTTCAATACAACATAATGCTGCAGCGATGCTAACAGCTTGAGAATTTCAATCTGTTTGTAGGTATCGTAATGAGCCATGATGGTGATAGTACTGAACAGGACCAAAGATATTTTTATGGATAAATGTCTAGTCAACCTGACGAGTAAGTAACCTCACTAATTTTCGAATTCGAAATTCAACAATTTTTCAATTTCTCAATTTTTTCTAATCGCTTTTTTCAATAGTTGAAAGCTGATTACTTGCTTACAGCCACGACGTTCCACGAATATTATTGGAATTTCCTTTCGTCCAAGAGTTAAAAAAAAGGTACGCACTGATGACTGTATAGTCGAAAGCGCTCTGCTACGAAAAATTTGAATAAGTTATTTAGCAGGAAATCAATTTGTCTATATCTACACGTGTACAAAGCTGAGTAACCCTAATTTTACCTTCTGTGGCATTCAGGACATGCACATTCACGTACGCCGGTATGGCATTCGAGGGGTAGCACGTGTAGTTGCCGTTGTGGCTCGTGTCAGCCTCATCCAGCTGCAGGACGCTGGAAGATCTATCTGCAGCCACGCTGATTCCCGGATCGTGGTTGATCATGCGCTCCTCGTGGTACCAGAAGACGTACGAAGGAGGCTCTGTGGAGTGCCTCAGGGTGCAGACCAGACGCAGGAACGAACCGGCCCGTATGTGGATGTCAGGGGCACCTAGGATCTCAGCTACAGCCTCTGTAACACAAATTTTATTCACTCTATTAATCTACTCACTGCATCAAAAATAAGCGTTTGCTCCATCATTTGTGAACACAAACCTGTCAATTAACTTCCACGGAAGGGAAAAGAATATTAGCTCCCGTGGGAGATAAAATGAATTGGCTTTTTGCTACCTTGGTAAAGATATCTATAAAAGATCTGTGCTACCCAAATATCTAATCAGTAATTGATGTCTCCATCACTACTACTATTACAATTTCCTTATCGAACTCTAATGGTCTCATTAACACTTATTCATATTTTATTCCAAACTTACTCAATCGAAACTATGAATAAAATGAAAATGCAATCACACAATAAACAAATTCAATGTGACAGAAGTGTAGAATTGGTGTTCGTTGAGATCTCCGCAACCTTATGATGTCATACATTGATTCGGATCGAAGACTCGAGAGATAGACCGCTTGAGGCACCATTTTAAGAACGAGGCTTTCAAATAATTCTATGTATGATGATTCAGACGACAGTGACCTACAAGTAGATAGGCCTGTAAGAGAACATATAGGTTATCCCAGCAGTAGTCTAAAATCTTTTTGGTGACATTCTTCAAAAGCATCTTGTAACGAGCCAATCATGGTAGATTTTGTCTGAAGTCTGAAACAGTCCAAGTGTTTCGAGTGATCATTATATCACCATCTTTGGCAAGATTTGATGTGATGCCAGTGACAGGTTTCAATCTGATGAAACTTCCATAACGGAGTAGCCAGGAATTCAGACCCAGGACATTTTGTTGAGTCTATCTTACATTTCGAGTGGTTCAATATCATTACAAGTAATTCTAATCAGTATACGAACTGAGTGCTTCTTCCAAGAGTGCTTATTGCCATCTAATCAATCAATCGTTTTATTAGTTAAGTGGATTTCCTCCAATATCTCTACACATTGATCAATAGTGTATTTTTTTCCTTGGCTTATGGTTGCATAGGCATAGGCATAGGCAGCTTGATATTTGAGTAAGTATGCGGAAATGAATACAATGAATATTGGATTTTTCAATATTGATATTGAATTTTGAATCTGAGCCTGAATAGCTTAATATCGATTTGGTTTTAATACAGTGGAGTGACATCGTTTCAAATACAAGGATGAAGGGGTGAATTGAAAAATGTGTTGACGATAGATCAACCTACAGTCTAATTATTGCATCTATATACAACCGCTATGCCATATGCAAATCATGGAGACAATTCAGAAATATTATATAGGGTGATTCCGGTATTGAGATACAAACTGAAGTGAGTGATAGCTCTTAAGATCTTAATTAAAAAAGTTGATATAAACATGAGTCCGATCTCGATCAGTAGCGGAGCTACAGAGGGTTAAATTTCAATTATTTTCTTTAAATTGGGATATCTCACTCACTATTGAAAATATCAATTTGAAACTTGATGTAGTTGATTCTCACTTGAAAATTATCATCTTGAGCACTTTGAAGGTTTTTGAAATCTACATGGTGATACGGTTTTGGAGGTAGAAACTTTTTTGTCCCCTCAAACTATTTTGTAGTGAGCCTCTGACATCTCTCACTCACCAAACAGGATGTTTTGTTCAATTTGAAGGCTTTCTTGTTCTTCATTTTCTTCTGATGAGAAATGAACCGTTTTCGAGATGAACAAGCATATTCTTTCTGGAACATGTTAATTTCATCTTTTTCTTTTCTATTGAATCTTATTCTTGGACAAAATCAGTTATCAATATCGACAATGACGAGTGTCACAAATAAGTATTGTGGACTGATAGAGCCACATTAACCAGATGTTTGGTGGTGAATTACCATAATTCACATGTGACTCAATATTATTTATTACCTAATGTCCTCTGTGGACCGTACATTTTTTCCGATAGGTTGAATGCCATATTATTTCTCAATTTCCTTAGTGATATCGAGAATACAACTAGATCGGGCTCAACTAGTGGCTTAACACGAATTTTCCGCGTCGTTCTATTGATGGTCGTTTAAAAACAACCTGATCGACCTTCTACCATCTGTATCCCCGCTGCTTATCTCGATTGGACACATGCTTAAAAACATTGCAATTTCAGTATATCTTATTGCATTCTCAACAAATGTTGCCCAAGAATGAGCAAAATAGGCAAAATCAGGCAAAATTAACATGTTATAGAACGAATATGATAGAAAAGGATTGAGAATTGAGAATTTGGTAACTGAAAGAGGACAAAGGCATACTATATACCCCCAAAAACGTATCACTCTGTAGATTTTGAAGATATTCAAAATGCTTCAAATGGAGATCTTCTAGACAGTATTGACCACACCCAATGTCATATTGATATCTCTACAAGTGAACGACATATTTCAATTGATAAAAAAAATTATTGATTCTTGACCCCTCAAAACCTGTATCATCACCCTGTATTCAACTATGTTTGCAGAAAAACTAATAATTGTAAGTGATAGTTGGTGATAGTGTATAGATAAGGAATTGAAGATAAACTCCAGACATCAGATTTCAAGAAACTCATGTCTTGATCCGAAAAGTAGGCGCAAAATGATATTAATTCTTCACATCCGCGACTGCAAACGCTCATTTTCATTCAATTTATTTCCTGACATCCAATCATAATCTTTCCTCATTCATCACTTAGTAGGGGTAAAATTCATAATCGTTGAATAGATTGAAGGCACTTCCGTGAATCCTGCATAATAACGCCCTCGGTGGTTGGTAGACTCACTTAATTTTCAGCACAGATTGAAACCAAACACCTTCCATACTGAAACAACATAATTAAAGACTACGGAAGTTTTATTGTTCATTTAGGAAAATGTGTGCGACGTTGGAATTGGGTTATCAGATGGTATATAAGGACTTTATAGAACGTAATAAAAACCGCTATTATGTTCTGAACCGGAAATTCCAGAGGTGGCACTATCAAAAAGTTCAATCTGCTAATGTTAACTTCGATTAATTATACACCATCAATGCATAAAACCACTTCACACGAAAAAAAGTAATAGCCACCATCAGATATCTTTGGAAAAAATTCACCAAGAAATTACCTTGATTTCGAATTGGGATTCGAAATAAGTATACAGAGTATTCGTAGATTCCTAATGCAAGCCATATCTCCGCGTTCTTAATCAGTGAATATTTTGAAAGGTTTTCATTGTGAAATATATCAGCACTCGTTCAATGAATAGGGGTTTAGAAAAGCTCATTCTATTTGTATCTCTTTCATTTTCTTTAGATATGGAGATGTCCTCACTCTTTATAAAGCGTTAGAAATCAGATCTATTGGCACTTTTATAATTACTATTACTCAATTATTTGCCGATGGAACAACGCATTTATTACGGGAAAAATATTCAAGAAATGAAGAACCAAACGGAACAAGATCTCGCTTCAATTTCTGGTAATTTTTTGGATTATGATGCTTTTCAAAAAGAACTTCATATTTGCACAATTGAACGTTTTTGTGATATCAATATCAACTGAGAGAGCTTTTGAGTAAAAAATAGGTCAACAATCGCCCCGTTTGAAATTTTTTGATTCAAGGTAGAATTCTGCTGTTCAGCCTCATAGAAATGTAGTCAGGATCTGTGTTCTAACTCAATCGTTTTGTAAGTATACTTTCATTTCGAATTTGAAATGTCAAGCAGTCAAGCCAACGTCAACTTGATTTGACCAAGAATTTTGAGCATGCGCATTACATCTCTTTTGCTTATGCGTAGTCATTTGTTCCATAAAAGTGGCTTCAAGTTGTGGTGAATAGATGAGTGCTCGAGATCGATATGTCGGCGTCAATTAGTGAAATCCGTCATTCCCTGAAATGCCTCGTCATTTCACGTATTGTCGACAAAAAGCGTAAAAGCGTAACATCCATTTTCAGCCGTGTCTCTGTTTGAAGGAGGGTCAGGGAAGGAAAATATCCTTTCTGCATATGCATAAGAAGGGACGCTATTTTCCGCCTAAATGAACCTTCTTCCCAGAAAGTATATTTTTCAGAAAATTAGAAACATAAGAGACTACTGCTTCTGACGCGGCCTAAATGAACCTTATTCCGTCATTACATCAGGGAAAGCCTGAACCTATATTGGGCAAACGGTATACGAAATTTAGAGTTACGCTGTTTGCTGGCAATACGTGGAATGTCTAGGTATTCCAGAGATTGGCGAGTTTCACTGTTTCACGCCGACAGATATACATACAGATACATATAACAGGGTCGCTGATATGTATGGAAACAGGTGAATATCTCGGTAACCTGTTGTTGGATTTTTTTGAATTTATGTACTGTGTGATTTCAAAACGTGGCAGATTTGAAAATGTTATAGCCAATGTTGCCACTTTTTCAGTTATACTGGATTTTTTATTAACTTCCTTATTTTGAATAGAACACCCTGTATTTTATTGGATTTTCAGATTCTCCCTGAAGAGCTAAGTCCATCGATCTATCACACTTGGGGTCTAGCAGGAATGAATACATAGGTATAGGGTGTTTAAAATCTACATTTTTCAACTTTAGTATTTTTTTGTGTCGAAACTATTCATTATCGATCAAAACCGCTCCACTGTTCCCATCTTTACTTCTGATTTACTATCTACTGACATTTAATTGAAACAAATACAGGGTGGTTCAAGATTCAGAATTCTGATCACCCTGTGTATCTGTTCCAATTAAATAGTCAGTAGATGGTAAATTAAAATTGAAGATAGGAACATTGAAGCGGTTCTGATCGATAATGAATAGTTTCTACACAAAAAAATCTTGAAGTTGAAAAACCTAGATTTTAAACACCCTATACCTATGTAATCATTCCCGCTCGACCCCAAGTGTGATAGATCGATGGAATCAGCTCTTCAAGGAGAATCTGGAAATCCAATAAAGTACAGGGTGTTTCATTCAAAATAAGGAAGTTACTAAAAATCCGGAATAACTGAGAAAGTGGCAACAGAGGCTATAACATTTTCAAATCCGCCACGTTTTGAAATCACACTGTACATAAATTCAAAAAAATCTAACAACAGATTGCCCAGATATTCACCTGTTTCCATACATATCAGCGACCCTGTATGAATGGAACACTACTTATCTCTTTTCATTCCCCTTCCCCAACCATTGCAATGCTCATGTATTGTTATACATTTCATCAATATCATCAGAGTATTATACTCGTATCTAATCTACATATTGCGATAATCAATTTGTAATGGTATTTTCCATCTCATATCGTAAGGTTGGTATTTACGATACCATCATCGTAAATAACTATATTTATTACCAATAAAACGCCTTCTGACTGACTCAACATTCACCAAGACAACCCCTGTTCTGTGCGTTCGATATCAGCAAGTTTATTTCTCTGGTGAATTCATCCTTATGCAAACATGTGCAAACCGACCCGGAACCCTGTGTGGAGCGTCAGCAAATCCCTTATCTGCCATATTTATCGAAGGTCACAGGTGGGCCCTATAAGCAACTTCTCGAAGAAAATGCGTCTGCCATCCCACTTTTTGTCATGCACCACCGCGTGTGCCGTGTGCACATTCACAGTAGTACAGGGTCTTCCACACCAGTTATAAAAATTGCATCTAAGAATAAACAATTGTATCTGTATGGTATCTGTCAATAGTGAAAGAGATGAAATTAAATAATATTTCATGAGAATGCTCATATCTCCAAAACTATCAATATTTTACTAAGGTCATATTGTGATATTCTGTTCAGTCATGAAATGGACTATTAGCCCTCCAAAGAATGACATTGTGTTTTGGTACACCTTGTTATAGTTTGCTAATGTTAACTCAAGTCATTTTGCACTCCAAACATGAAGGTTAATTGGTCGTCATTTCACATAGCCTTGTTTTGGAACTATAGTGCCTTTAGCAATTTGTATAATGATTGATTATGTTATTTTCTTGTAGGTGATATTTTCTTGTTCTCATGAGACTGATGATCGGCATATATATGACCAAAACATGTTTCTCTAACCCATAATTTGGACACACATACTTTGTAGAGATGACAATATGTTATTACTACTTGTAACTACCAAGTAACTCCACTTGTTACCTTCTGAAAGACCCTGTACAGTGGGCCCTTTTCCAATATCTCGGAACGTGTCGGATATATTCCGCGTATAGTTCGGCTCATTTATTATTCATGATTTGTGTCGACCTAAGTATAAATCAATTCGTGCAATGGTACGTTTATAGGGACGGACGTACTTGAATATTTGACGTCGATGGGATCATGTATCATTTGCTCTAGTGCCGAATGTTTTATATTAGCCATCGAATATATGTCGCATGAAATGGCAGTGATTTACTGAATAATGGCATTCTCCTAGTCTCTTTCTATGAGAAGATAATATGCAGTTCAAGTCTGAATCAGAAGATTTCTCCAGGGATTATCAGTGGTAACGAGATCCAATAATTGCTTGGTAACACCACGAGTTCGCAGGACGAGGTGGGGTTACCTCAAAGCAATTTGATTTTTGATAGTTATTTGAGCTTTAGTTGTATTTATTGAGACAATTTCACGACGTTATGAAACTTTTAGCTCCATGTTATACCAGCTGACAAAATGTTCTGGTTCCTATATTGCTGGAGCAGTTTCATATAAGACGTGGAATTGTCAGCTACACCTATTTAAATTTTATTCCAAGAAGTTCAAGATACATTTTAAAAAGAGGTATTCTATTCTCAGATTTTCTGGCTTCTACATTATCACTAAGTTCCTCATTCATTTCTGTCATGATTGGTTCAGCCTTTTCTGTTATATTCATGAAGGTCTATGAAGATATATCTTAAAAACTCTTTGGCGTCCTGTTAACACGCTCAATTCTCGAAACGTAAACCAAATATTCGTGTCTGATTTCAGAACAAACGGTGTACATCACAGTATCAGATGAATCTCCAACCATAGGTTTTCTTCTTTCGCAAATGCTTTCACTATCATTATGACAAACATTGGAGGGCGCTGCTATTGATTAAAAAATAAGTGTGGCCAATATTCTGCAAACCGTTCTAGCCGTATATTTCCGATTAATTTTGACAAAATCCATAGAAAGAGTAAGGTATTGGTAATTGACCAATGGTATCCTTTGTGGACATGAAAAACGCCAATTGCTTCTGTGGCCACTGGAATGAAAATACATCGATCTTTCGATTTCAATTTCTCAGCTGAATCACCATGAGCTGGTGATGTTGAATTGATATGTGATGCTGCGATGGTATCTATGCAGATGAAGTCCAAGACTAATGTTCTGCCTTGACTCCATGAAATGAGAGATATTCCAACCAAATGGAGAACTCAATATCATCAAATATGGAAACCAATATTCCGAATAATCAATAGATATATCAATTTCATCTCTATACTTTCATGAGACTAGACAGAGAACAAATGAAAGGTTCATCAAACATAATATCGATACATCAAACTCCCAACGAAACAGAGTATAAAAGAATATTGTGAACCAGGAAATTCTGAAGTTCACTATCGAGAATTCTATCCCTCTTACTACCAACCAAGATAGTGTTTAATGCCTTTTTTCTATGACTGTTGAAAACTAGACCCTTTTAATGTAACATTTTTGTTGGGTAACTGGATGCATTACACAAAACAAGCCACGCCCCGTGTGTAAGAGCCTTTACGAAACAGGCTATGGCCAATCAGCAACAAAGCAGATTCATTACCTACAAAACAGTTGACACCAGTTGTATTGATAATATGGGGCATGCAGTGAAACGTTTGAATCAGACTCGTCATGAAATGTCATAATTTGACAATAGCTATCTGGCGTGATTTAGAACTGACTTTTTGTGCAAATATGGATTCAGAAAGCGAAAATGAATTCAACTGCTCTCCACCATCAGAAGTTTTGAAAGCTGCCAATTCAAGTACAATCAGCCTTTTGCCCGAGGAATCTAGAAAAAGGTATGAAGGGGTTTGGCGAAAAGCAAAACTTGAAAATTCGTTTTCGGATAATGTACTGCTAGCCTATTTTGGCGAATTAGCAGCTAAACACAAAGCATCCTCCTTGTGGTCACAGTATTCCATGTATATACTAAGAAGCACAATTTCAATAAAGAATCATGTGAATATTGACAAATATTTGAAATTACGAGCATTTCTAAAAAGGAAATCTGATGGATATATGTCAAAGAAAGCGAAGATATTCACTGCTGATGAACTCAATCAGTTCATCACTCAGTCATAGAAAAAGTATAGTATTCTACTTGCGTGTAATGGCTATTACTCATTCGAATGATTACGACGTTCGCCTGCGGCTCACGTCGCAAACTTCATTCTCATGAGTAATGGCCATCATTACACGCCCGTCGAATAATATACTATTTTACACTCACCAGTAACAGTCAGTTGTAAAAAAATACTAGTAGTTGGATGACTGGACACTTGGCATTCGTATAGCCCAGCATCTTCAGGTTTGACGTGCTTGATGACCAAGCCCCAGTTTTGCAGGTGCCTAGCATGTTCCACAAGGAACCTTTCGTCAGCAATGTAGGTTCCTACACCGACCGTGAGGATGGTGGGAGGAGAGTCTTTTTTCCTGATCCAAGACACCTGGAACAAAATGTAGTGATAACAGATACGCTTGAAAATTATGACAGATTTATTATGGCTGTATCATATTCTCAAATTTATTACACACATGAAATACACTCATTCTTCTTTCATCACATTTTACCACTGAAGTTTCAATAGGGTAAGTTGGGGCAAAAGGTGAGATGGCTCTGTGTGATATTTTCACAACCGCTAGAGTCACTCGGTCTTTGATATGCTCTGAGGCTTCAATTATAATGTCACTAGTTCACATTATGGCTGCAAATTAGTTATGAGTATCATCTACGAAGTAGGCATTTCAATATTTCGTTAGGTGGAATTCAGTTTGAGTGGGCTTGTTCAGAGCTGCATAACTTTCCTGATCTCATAGGTTCCCGAAGGTGATATGGTTTGAAGTAAGTAGGTACAAGTCATATGCTTTGTACACGGATACAAGGGGAGTAGGCTCAAGGAACATATCATCTCAATACGAAGATGACCGAGCCATATCATTGGGTGACTCTTCATATGACGTGGAGACATTTAAGGATTGTACATTTTGAGGTGAAAATTATGCGCAAACAAGGAAATCTGATGACTGGGAAGTGCAAGCAATATAAACACGTTGATACCCTGACACGTGCTCAAATATTTTTCAACTTTTCTCATCCTTCTGGTGTTGAAATTCGTTAACATCAGTAATTTGACATCATCTGTGTTAAATCTACAGCTTGATACTTCACTATTGCCTTTATCTCCAGTTGCTCCATCTCACCTGAGTGTATGAAGAGACATGGCTTTTGACTTATTTTCTCATTCTTTCCAGGACACTGTCATTCCTCATTTATATGTGTGAAACATCATATTAACTCATTTAAATGATATAAGAGTATGATCTGAGGCTATAATCGTTTCATTAAAATCATTCAATGTGATGTCACGTTTTTTTTACAAATGTGGGTCATTTATCCTCGATTCACCCTATAATGAACAGTGAATTGCACAATCTTATTGAAACTGTGATATTTGTCATCTCATAAAATTTGTATTCATCCCTGTGATGAAAATCAATGGAATTCTTGTATAAAGGCATTGATTTTAACTGCATTTCTAGCTATAAAAGTATACATTGACTCTGATCTCTACTCTTGGCACTGCCTGGAATGGAAGAAACTGATGATTCCACAGGAAATGAAATCCACACGAAATCAAACACGGTGACTTTATCAGGTGAAATACTCATGCAAATCAACTTTTCATTACCATGAATTTGGAGGTTGAGAATTACTTGTGCAGGCTAGATAATCCTTCATTTCCGGAAGTATGCATTATATCTATATTCAAATTTGCTTTGATGGATGGATTTGAAGAAGCCGCATATTTCAGAGTTTTTGATAGATTTCACCGCTGTTGTTTAGATGGTTTCCATGAGGTGTTCTATCAATTTCAATGATTCTAGCTCATTGTTTTTTTTTCCTGTTGAATGTTTGTAGTGAGCGTTTCAAGTTGTTTAGTGGTTTCCTTCGAGCAGTTTTATTTGTTCGTGTTTGTGTTTCCGTTCGTATTCATTGCATTCAAACTTTTCTGTACCACAAATGTAGTATTGGCGGAGGACAGGTTAGCCAGACATTATCTTCTCATTAGTGAGTTATAATACATTTTCTTATCGATTTTGAACTACTTACTTCATCCCACTACCATTCTAGTAAGGAATCGTTATGATTTGAATATTACTTTGGGCTGCGTTCAGAAACTTAATCCAGTGGGTAGAGTATGGTTGAAGGTTACTCAGAAATATGCAATGAAAACGAATGTCAACTTTTATAAAACTCATAGGTTCTCAGGTCATGATACGGAAAACCAGATATGAAATGTTTTCTGGGAATTGTTTCAATATGAATGTTGAGAAGGAAATGTGATATCTATTCACCATTATTGAATTGGAATAAGAATGTTCTGCTATTTTTATATCAAAATAAATTGGAAGGAGACTTATTGAAGACTGGTTCATGAGATTTGAGTTAATTTCACATTCTACTCATTGAAATTCAGTTACAACTTCTGCACAAAATTTCTTATTATTTTATATATTTCTACACCAGAACTAATTTCAGTTTCCTCAATGATTCTTATTCTGCGAACATAATTGAATAATGTGATTCAGTTATGATAAACTGTCAGAAATTAACTTCCCTGCCTGAGGCGTTGGAAGTCGAAACTACCGAAATTAGCAGATGTTCCTGGCAAGTTGGTGCCGAGCTATGTTTTCCATTTTGAAGTGATCAACTCCTGCTGAAGAATCATTCAAGTTCGAAATGCTGTATTCGATCCGGCAGGATTGATACATCAGGATTACTAATTGTAATTATCTTTCGAAGAGTACTGGGGGGAAATCCCTGTTATGTTCGTAGAGCATCATGTTGGAATGTATTTTAACCTTTGGATTTCCTGGGAATATTTTTCTAAATGAAGGCAGATAACTGCAAAGCTCTATCGTTCTATGGATAGTATAGACAAGAGGGTTTCGTAGAGAGTTGTTCAACATATTTCAAAGTCGACGACAAAATAATGTGGTCTCAGCTCAGCGAGTTCGTCTTATTGGTATTACTAGTGATGGAACAATAAATGAGATTAATGAATACAATTTTTCATTGAAGAAGAGTGAAAGGTCGCTGACTTTCTTACGGCGTCCTTATATAATGTTAAGAGATCATCACCAACATACCGGAAAGAGCATCGAATTTTCTATAGAGCTCATGTGAAATTCGTTAATACGCGAGAAGGTGACCCTATATCGTGGGTCATCTCACGTAATGGCGTATCTCATAGAAATCGGAATTAGAGATACTGCGTCAAATGACTTAAATTCTTATACTCTATGATCTCACAAAATGGCGTAGCTCAATATACATTGGTTTTCGTGTAATTAAATATCAACTGTAATTAAATATCAACCCAACTTATTTCAAATTATCGGACTACCAAATCTCATGAAGTGGCCTAACTATGGGAGTTAGGTCAATACGTGAGATATATTTTTATTATTTGTTAAGAATTTCAATAGTGACGTATCTCATAACTCATAATCCGGTTTGCCGCGAAAATACTAATATCCCAGGTGACGTCTCAAGGTACTGAGAGGGGTGTTTTTTATCAATGAAAATGAATATTCGTATCTGATATTCATTTGAATTCTCTTTATATTCATGACGTATCTAATGCCACATTGACAAACATGATTGACGTAGTGACGTATCTCACATATTTTTTCTCCGTTTTTAGCGATGCTTTTTCGAAATCTCACCTGGAATAGTGCTCCCATATCTGGAGTGCAGCACCCAAACATACCTTGAAACTGTTGGATTCTATCCAAACATGGGCAATTCGTCTCGTGGGTAATGTCTCGCTCACAAACTCACTCACTACTCTGGAACACCGTAGAGAAGTTGGCAATCTGGCTGTATTTCATAGTTATCTTCATGGACGATGCTCTTCTGAGATATCAACAATTGTTCCTTCCTCGGCAGTCCCCGCGAGATTAATGGGGAAGACCACTGAGGGAAGAAATCCGTGCAAACCTCTTTCAATCGACGAATCATGATTTACGTTTGATCTACAATCAATATTATGAGTTGAAGTTGAAGGAAATCGAATCTATATCGTTTTGAAATCAGCATATTTCATTCGTTATTTCGAAAAGCCAAATATGATGGTGGAATTGTGACGTATTAGTCCCGCACTGTAGCTATTTCTCTCTGATACCTCGTCATTCTGCAGTGTTGCAGTGTGATTGGTGAGTTCAAGGACAATAGGCGTGTTGGGACTAAGACGTCGCACCAGTCTCACCAATGAATTGACGAAATTTCAAATGGCACAGGAATTGTGTGTTTTGAAATGGACATATTCTAATTTATTTTTTCATCGTCTTAGCATGAATAAGAAAATTCGAAATTAATTCACTGGTAGTTTTTCAGTAGAAAGTTCACGATAATGTCGTTTCAAAAAATAAGTGGTCTTTCCCATTCGTCGAGTTGAGACTTCGCACCCCTTCTTGGTCACTTTCGAGACCTGCAGAACATTTTCCAAAGACTCGATCATCCAACGAACAGCGAGGCTCTGGAACATATTGCCAAGGGAGGTGTTTCCCGAGGCATATAACCTCCAGAAATTCAAGAAGAACATCAATTCCTACCATATTTACCTTGGTTCTCACGATGTTCACAAACATCTGAGTTATGAGCGAATCGAAATGTTGAAAATCTTTGGATTGCACTGCTGTGGAGTTAAGAAAACTGAGATACGTCTTTACGTGAGATGGCTGTCGATATGTTAGGTATGGTACAGTGCTCAATCATATCACCATTTATTCAATGAGTGATTGGACTCAACCTCGGAATTGTCAACTAAAGTAAACCACCAGATGTCGAGTTACCGATTTATTTATATACTATCAAATATACCATTAGTAACTAACGGAACAAACAAATGAGAGTATAAAGTCGTTTGTCCTCAATTTTCTTCTGAACGTGACCAACGCATTTCCATCAATCAAACCAAGTTTTCCCTGTATATGAGAAAAACGAATTGTCGATTTCGTTCCAATCAGGAAAGCGATGTATCCTAATCGCTTCCTGAATACCTTTTTTGCGGCAGCTAACCCCAGCTTATAACCACCGTCTGAACAAATAACGAACATCCATCAGTTCAGTTCTTGGAGATGATAACACAGGAGCATTTGGCCTCTTCTGCCATCGCCAGCGTTGCCAGATGCCTCTTGAAGTTCACTGATATAACCTACCATATCTATACCTTTTCAACTTCAATTTCGGAATCGGTGAGTTATATTTCGGAAAAAGTAATCTCGATTTCAGAATTGGTTAGTTCGATTTCAGAAATGGTAAACTCAATTTCAGAATCGTTGAGATGAATTTCAGAAAAAGTCCATTCAATTTCAGAAATGGTAAGTTGTATTTCAGAATTATTATTGGTAGGTTCAATTTCAGAACATGAAATCCTTTTATATGTTTGGAATGTTTTTAATTGCAAAAGAGAAGACTGTTTACAGCGGATGGAACGGTGTTTGAGAGCCCTATGTTGAATCAGATTGAACATATATGGGGTGCCTTCAAGTGAGAAGTGAAGAGTTCTTGCAAGAGCATCGCCAAAGGATCATAGCTGGAGATCCGAACAGATTGCTCAACCAGATAGAATTCAGACTGCGATGTCTTGAAGAATGTGCAGATCAATCAATTAAATTGATAACACCTCAAATGTGTTTGCATTCTTATAATCATGTGCAACGCCACTATCTTTCAGCGATTCATATGGAAGGCATCTGTGGATTAAATTGTTTTTGAAAAGTTGAATATTTTAAATAAAATATGGTTTGTTGATCTCACATGCAATTGGAAACATTTCGAACAAATATAAGGATTTTTTTCATGATATTGAACCTACCAATTCTGAAATACAACTTACCATTTCTGGAATTGAATGGACTTTTTCTGAAATTCATCTCACCGATTCTGAAATTGAGTTTACCATTTCTGAAATCGAACTAACCAATTCTGAAATCGAGATTACTTTTTCCGAAATATAACTTACCGATTCCGAAATTGAAGTTGAAAAGGTATAGACAACTAATGCCATAACACAAGAGATGTACATCACGAAGCATGATTCGCATCACGAGTTCCCATTTCAGGTGAAATGGGGGTTGCTGGTTGCCTGACGTATTTTCTACTAGAAAAAAGCCTGTTCCTGAACCACTTGGATGCAGCTCAGCGTTTAGGAAAGAATCACGATTTTAACACGAATTATTGCATAGATTTCGGGACAATGTAATCCAATCCAATGTTATGAACTCTTGTGGTAAATACTTTTAGTTTCTCTTTCTATGTGATTCTAATAGTACTTTTAAGTGATCTTTTGTTGGTTCTTGTTATGAAATTTCTGAGATATGACCTCCAACTCATCTTTTTCTTATCTTTCCTTTATTATTTTCAAAAATCGACGCCACCATCCGAATGATCATAACGTCGAAGTTGTCTTTTCATACAATCAATAGGTTTCGAGATATTCGAGAGAAACGAACATACAAAATTCCAGTTCTCCTTTGATAACTTAAAAATGTCTGATGAAGCTAGTCAAGATCTCTCGATGGATTCTGAATCAGAATTGAATTTACTAAAACTTCCGTGATTCAACCGACTCTCTATATCTATCACAGTTACCGAGATCCTAATAATGGAGGGGACTGAATTTGGGACATACGATACAGTCATCCATTGAGTATATGGGGATAGGGTTTATCATTAGACTATCGAAAACCTTGTTTTTAAGGGATCTATTATTCATGTGCGATAACTTGAAAATCGATTCTGACACAGGCCACGTGATCACTGATATAGGTAGCGTGCACGATGACCGACTCTGAAGGTGAAATATTTAAACACAACCTCACTTTTCTATTAACATTGAAACACAACCTCACTTTCTCCATTTGATTGCAAAGGAATCGAAGGATTGAAATAGTTTTTCACAATATTTTGGCATACGAATGGTTTTTTGCGCTATTCCTTAATTCAAGCATGCCTTCTCATTGTGTTTCTCAAACAGTTGCTTAGCATTCAATTTTCTCACCACTCACACAGAGTTTCAAGCAATAATTTGACAAAATTTTGTCCAGATTCACGAGACGAATATAATAAAAATCTTATTGTCACGTTCCAATTCAATGAAAAATACTGTTTGAAATAAAACTGATTATTTGAAATCTGGCAACTGTGCGGATCTTTTTAATAAATATCCCGACAATTTCTTCTCCTTTCGTTTGTGAACTCAGCCAATAACAGCTGGTCGTCTAATGTGGCTTGATTCGTTCTTTATTAGGGGCTCTCATTTAATCTCAGAAAGACATTATAGCGTTATTTCACCGGAAGGAACAATGACATTTTATCCGGGGAGTTGTTATCCGAAATTTGTTCGTTCCAATGATTCCGAATGAGTTTCCTAGAAGACACGAAACAAATTAATGGATTATTTCTCTGTACTACATTGTGAGGAAGCTGATTAACCCTATTTAGATAAAATAATGGAAAACTGTGGATTGTTGCCCCTCTAAAGGATTTTTAGAATTTTAGAACAATACTCATGGTTAAATATTACCGATACAAAATAACCCGAATTGCATCAATATAATAGGACAATAAGATCAATACACTACACACTGTTTGACACACTAACCAAGCCGATTTTTTAGGCCTAGACATGTGTTTCGCTAACTATATGTTATTAGCATCATCAGGAGAAGATTAAAGCTAAAGGTTCTATCATAGTGTTGCTACTTATATACTAGGTATATGTCCACCCAACTGTGAATGACACTAACCGCCAAATTAATGTTAGTCATGGTTGAATTCACATGTTAACCTTGGTCTTATATCACGAAACTATACAGAGGGCTAAGTGGGATAGGTCCATTATTCTTATTCATCACTCTACCACTATTCTTGAATATCTTTTGGTTTTCATATGCATCTGATAATGTAATAAGTTAGGAATAGTAATAGAGTAATTAATAAAGGATAATGGGCCTATTTCATTTAGCCCTCTTGAGATAATCGCCTCTATACCCAAAGCTTCAATTTTTGCAAGTTAAGAATATAGTTGAGTCTATCGGAGGCTTTAGAAAAGTCTTTTTTTTATGTTCTCATTTCCACGAAAAGGTATATAGTGAAATGTTCAGAGACCATCGTGAGAACCTAGGGAAATAAAGTAGGAGTTGGTGTTCTTCTTGAATTTCCGTAGGTTATATGCCTCGGGAAACACCTCCCTTGGCATTGTGTTCCAGAGCCTCGCTGTTCGTTGGATGAACGAGTCTTTGGAAAGAGATGTTCTGCAGGTCTCCAAAGTGACCACGAAGGGGTGCGAAGCTTCAACTCGACGGGTCAATCTCGCGGGGACTGCCAAGGGAGGTACAATTGTTGATACTTCAGGAGAGCATCGTCCATGAAAATATCTATGAAAAAGAGCCAGATCGCCAACTTTTCTACGGTTTTCCAGAGAGGTGAGTGAGTTTGTAAGCGAGGCATCACCCACGAGACGAATTGCCCTTTTTTGGACAGAATCCAACAGTTTCAGGGTATGTTTGGGTGCTGCACTCCAAATATGGAAACAGTATTTCAGGTTGGATCTGTGCCTTATAGATCATGAGCAGCTGACTGAAAGTGAAATAGCTCCTGGCCCAAAACGGAAATCCAAGTCTTTGGGATGGACTTTTATTAATTCATCTCACGTGATTTTCCCAAGGTTATTGGTGATAGTAATACCAAGCATCGCCGTTGATGTCTTCAAAGGTATGGTTAGTCCTGACATGCTTATGTTTGGTACAGTGAGATCGGCTTTCCTAGAGAAAAGGCATGCTTGTGTGTTTTGTTTGCATTGAAATCTACCAAGTTATTGGATCCCCATTCGAGAATTGTTGCCAAGTCCATATTTATGTTGTCAACATTTCTCCCTCGTTCGTTTCTGATTTTCCTGGCTGGTATTGGAGCCCTGGAAGAGAAGGCGGTATGGAGGGTACTATCATCCGCGAAGCTGTGTACTGGACATGAAGTTGCTTCCAACAAATCATTGATATGGAGTAGGAATAGTGTTGGTGCTAGAATTGATCTGTGTAAATAGGGTCTACTTGCAGCTTATTCTTTAATGAATTGATGATATAATTCTTACTAAGCAACAGGTTTGTTGATTTTGATCGACCTCGACAGAAACCATGTTATTTTAGAGATCAAGCAATCCAAAATTTTCGGTAACTCTGACTGATTACAAATGAATAGGTTTGGCAAAACTGTCTTTCCAGTTGTTAGGTAACTTTTCCTCCTTAAGAGAAGAGATAAATTGAACAGCAAGTGGATAGGTTTTGCTAAAGTAAATAAAATAAGTTCATATTGTCATAAAATACATTACATCATGGTAGAGACCTACCTATCTATCAGTTCTTTTCAATTACTGTAGTACTCACCACTCCATTATTGAATTTTCTCACTACACACGGGAGTTTAGCTGTCCCTCCTATTTGTGCGACGATTGTGGTGGAGTTTTCAGTCAGGAAAATCGCACCATGACCGGCAGGCAGCGTTTTCAGGAAATTTCCCGCCGAATGGTTTTTGTTCCTGCGGGTCTCATAGCTTCTCCTCTCCCGATGAAAATCTGTACTGAAGCCTGAAAAAGAACAAAGCGACGTGTACAACATTAAATCGAGGACCAAGGGTGTTCGCTCAATAACACTTTGTCGCTGTTCAAAAATACTAATTAGATATCGCAATATACAATCTTATATACGTTGAAATAATATCATAGACCTGTATAACACGCTACAACGCTACCATCATTATGCAAAAAATAGGGAAAGAAACAGGAAAATGTTTCGTTCGAGATACGTTTACCTAACATTAACTTGCCTTCAGAATCATATACAGGGTGTATTTAAATCCCACCAAAAAAATTCAAGGGGTGAGTCCTTGTTATATTTTGGGAAATGAACGTTATAAAAACATGTGTCCTAACTTGCTTCAGTTGTCTTATCATCAATTTCAACAAAACGTTGTGGTTTTGTTAATAGTAATATGGAGCTTCTTCTAGTGCAATTAGATTCGAAATGATATGTCCAGTAGCGTCACAGTGGGTAAATTTTCATATTTTCATTAGATTGAGCTATTGAAATAACAACTTCTACATCCTTTGTGTGATTTTTGTATCTAGCTTGATTTTTGAGGAAACAATAAAAATTCGACTACTCCAAATTTTAATGTAGGTGTTTTCAAGACTTTCATTGAGATTATTCAATAACCCCAATTAGAATTATTTTGAAACTTTGGGGCTTTCTCAGTTTCCATCCATATTGAATTTGGGCACCATGGAAGCTCATACAGGGAGGTTATAAATGAAACCGATTATAATACTTCCAACTTTAACATCCTGTATCTCAAAAACGGAGCAAGTTAGGACACATATCTATATGAACTTTATTTGCTAGAATGTCACAAGAAAACACCCCTTGAATTGTTTCGGTGTATTCAGATACACCCTGTATATTATATCTTATGATTTCCACGTTTCTGAAATGTATATTCAGATATTCTGATATCAAATTCAATATTCAGTGTTTGAGTAAATTTATTATAAGTTTCTTGATTAGGTACCGAAGAATTTGAATTTTTGGTTTTTCTGTGCCTTTCGTAATAATGTAGCGTGTTAATCATGGCTATGGAGAAGTATTATGTATTGTAAGTCATATAACGACGCATACTTTTGTTTTCCTATTCACATGGCCTACCACATCTAAAAATATTTTTTTCTGTTTTTTGAAGTTGTTCCATGTGAAAATGTCAGCATGTATGTGTATTACATGATGGCTATGAAGGGAATTTTCAACAGTGTTCAACAAGTATTTTTCGCGATAAATAAATCGCAATTGAGTTGAGCTCATCAGGAATGAAAGTGAAAGTCAGATTCAGGAGATTCAGGAAATTTAATCACAAATGGCATTTTATTCAACTATTTTACAGGGTAAAAAATGGAGAATCTGGAATTTGATAGAATGAAGTTCAATCAACTGAAAACATCGACCTCGAACGAAAAGCATATTTGATTATTGAACCAGTAATAACACAATATCTTAGTTTTTGAAATAAGTGGACATATTCAGCTCATTAAGAAGATACAGTCTAAGGAATATTCCCATGATATCAGATTTTTTTCTAATTCTTTTAATTAACGAGAAATTTCATACCAAAAAATTGAACAAAATACGAGAAAAAAAATTAGGTACGCCACTTTATAACAATTTGAATGATTGAACTCCGCGTGATTGTGCCTACCGCATAGAAATTTGAACAGAGGTGACGTCAGATTTGCTACAGTGTAGAACTTTGGGTGGAAAAAGGGGTCTAACTCCAAATTTTATTTTGATCCCTAGTTTTTTTTTTATTAGTGCCATTCGATAGTACACGTTGAGCTTTCTCTGTGTTTGAAATATTTGCACTTATTTCAATGCCACCCTGTATATTCACAGTTATTAGATATATTTCGCCGAAGAAAATGATAGAATCTTTGGGAATGCTTTCGATCGAAAGTTATTTGACAAACAGTTTGAATATTATGAAAATGATTCGCAGATTCGAAAATCAGGAAATAAAAAGTGATATCATAATATGTTCCATCTAGTGGGTAATCTAGTTATTGTTTAATATCAGGATTCACTTCGGAACATTTTATTTTGTAGATATCTAATCCTAGTCAGTGTACCAATCATCATTATATAGCTGATATATTGTCACGAGTAGAACATACGGTACCTATATTAGGAATTTCGAACCATGAGGGTTTTATAAACATAAAGTTAATCAAATCATCCGTTGACATTGAATTACAAAAACTGACCAAGGAACTATCATGGAAAACGTGCATTTCTGATGAAATGATGTATATAAATATTGGATGTGAGGGTTCCAAAGTTAGTCTGGTCTGGGGCTACTCTTGACTTGACAAGAGCTCGTCGTAATGGTAATCATCATGTAAGTTGTTATCTGGGTCTTCATATTCATCATTGTTTATTTATATTTGTCATTAGTACCCATAATGTTTCATGCTTCAATAGATATTGTTACATTTGAATATAGTCTCGTACTTTCAGTTACCCCTGAACTATTATAGTGCCTATTTTGAATATTACCTCTCGCAAACTATTAAGCCAAGCTTTACCCCTTTTAAATCGATATATGAATGGAGTAACCTTCTATTTCATCGTGACAATATTAATTGGAAGTTGAATAATGATTTTCAAATATAATTTTTATTAGTTAGATGCCACAGTTCCCATGTTTTGTCTCTGTGTTTATGTTTTGAACACCCTACATCCTCAACCAGAAAAAAACGTAGCATATTCATAGGTATAGCCAGAAAAGAAGTTGTTCTTCTCTGGTTATCTACCATTTTCATTCATTTTATGATGTATTGTGGTAATGACTTTGAGTTTCTTTCTCTTTGTGACTCCAGATCCTGTTCGGAATATTCAACGATGATATTATAATTTCATAAAAAGTGCCAGTTCAATGATATACAGGAGGAATTGATTGATGGATGATACGAACTGACACCGAAGCTATTATTTCGTTAGATAGGAACTGGAATGAGAGATAATTAGTGAATAATGGGAAGGCGGTGGAATGAAATGTCCGTATATCACGAGAAATTCACTAACCAACAATATAATAGAAAATCCTATACCACAACGTTTATATCCTTCCAGTAAAACGAATCATTTCATCAGATTGATGATGATCGGTAGCTGAGAACAATGTATCTTTCTATGTACTCCTGTTTTACTATTTATCTTCATTTCCTCGTGTTCTGCTATAAATACATGTTCTGATGAGCATGCAAATTTTGCTACTGTCATCAAATAACTTGTATAAATTCGTCATACTTTTGATTTGGAACATAGCCAGAAGAATAGTTGTTTTCTGTCGAGAATACCGAGAAAGAAATTATATTTTCATCCCATAGAGAACGCGAATTCACAATGTATTTCTTCAAATCTATCCATTTTTTCATATTCATAATATATCTGAGAATATTCCTTTCCAATACTTTCAAGCCCAATCAAGTGGTTCATACTTGAACAGTAGGAAATTGTTATTTTTATAGACATCTAATCGCAGATTCGTGATTGGGTTTTCTCAATTCAGAATTTCATTCCACGCCATGTATGATGAATATCAATGTGTCATACATCCAAACAATTATAAAAAATAGGCTTCGAACTGTGATGGGACAAAATATTCGTTCAGATAATTCTTGTTTTCGACAATATTTCTACTGGGTGTTTATTAATTACGCGTAAAAATTACAGGAGCATGTTGCTGACGTCAAAATGAGAAGAAAAGTTCGTATAAATATAATTATGTCCGCAAGTTATTCATTTCTGAGATACAAAGTATCACGATTATTTTGGAATTCATTCACAAGAAACCGAAATAACAATCAAAATTTGACACTCTGTATCTCAGAATTAATAACTTGTGTGCATGTTTATACAAACTCATCTTCTCATCTAAACGGCAACAACATGCTTCTGAATCTTTTATACGTACTTCTGAAGCACCCTGTATATGTTGAAATAATTTAGTTGGTTTCCAAAAAAGTTGTTGATTTTGTATGGAAAACAATAATGAGTCAGGGGGCTCCACTCTTTTGTTACCCCAGGGCCTCCAGACCTCTAAAGCCGGCTCTGCCATTGCCACATTGTTCCTACTTAATATCAATAATCTACTGGGAGTTACACCTTGGCCCTATCCACAGCTTTGCGAATAATACTACTTTCCATACTGTGTTCTCATCCAGAATTCCCATATCTTCCCAGGAAACTGAGAACATTTTAAGCAATTTCATGAAGCATATTTCAAAAAAAGGTTTCTTTGGGCTGCGCCTCATTGAAAAACTCAGTTTTCGATCACCAGAATAGCCTTTTGCGGACTAGATACAAGAATATCTATTTCGAAACTTCTATGAAGCTGTCAAGAGTCACTTGTTTATCTGCAGAACACACGAACACGCTACAATTTTTCTAAAATTTGGTTTAGTTATATGTATAAGCAACCATTTCGAATCTGATCGCATTGATAGTATATTATGTAACAAGTGTTATAAACGTCCTTTCAGTAACGAGTGTTTAATAAACGAGTGTCTAGAAGAGTTTATGAACGCGTTATTACATACTATGATTTTTCTACGAACTCCCAAAAATTACATTTTTACATACCTGCAATTCCTGCTAACCTACAAAATAATTCGAAAGGAATGGGAATTGAGAACATAATACATGCAACTGCCTGCAACCAGCCAGACCCGTATAAGTGATATTGGTTGTAGATGTGTCCAGTCCATTGCTTACTAACCTTTGTTTCACGTTTATTGTCTTGCTTAGCGCAGAATAAATAAATTGTTCTCGAAGATGGAAGCTTCATTTTTACACTTCTTGGAGATATGCAAGTACCACAACATTCTCTTCGATTTCACTTTCGTCTACTTTTCGCATACATTTTTAATGAAGAATTCTGATACAAACGAATGTTGTTTGAATAATTCTGTTTCAAAATTCGAAAATAACAGTTGACAGTTGATACAATTGACAGGCCAGACATGTCTCAAATTACTGAAGC